GCCGAGGTCCTCCTCCATGACCAAGCTCGGGTCAACTCAATTCACTCAAGATTCGCCAACACGGTTAACAACGTGAAAGAGAAAGCTGCCACCAGCATTCCGGCCATGTCCGGAAGTGTTATCGGATCGGCAAGTTACATCGTCACGGTGGGTCTCGGCACCCCAAAAAAAGACCTTTCCCTAGTATTCGACACTGGAAGTGACCTCACCTGGACTCAATGCCAACCTTGCGTAGGATATTGTTATCAGCAGAAAGAACCCATATTCGATCCTACTCAGTCTAAATCATATCTCAACATTTCTTGTTCTTCCTCGATTTGTGGTTCTCTGTATTCTGCAACAGGTAATTTCAAATCTTCAATCTTCGATACCAAAATTTGGGAAATTTTGATGCAATTTGTGTAGGTAACGATATGAAAATAACTTTTTTTTGTTAGAGTTTTTTATATAATGTTTATTTTTTTCCCTATTATAAAAAAAAATTACACAAAAAAATTATATTCAAATTATTTTTTTAATGTGTTTTTAGTCAATCGTAATTCATGTTTTTTATTTTTATTTTGTTTGTGTTGTTTGTTTCAGGCGGGAATCGACCGGGTTGTTCGTCTTCAACCTGTGTCTATAAAATAGGATACGGTGACAAGTCTTTCTCAGTCGGGTTCTTCGGCACAGAACGGCTGACCTTGACATCGGCAGACATTTTCGACAATTTCCTATTCGGATGTGGCGAAAACAACCAGGGGCTTTTTAGAGGCGCCGCCGGATTACTTGGGCTGGGCCGTAATGAACTATCCTTGCCATCACAGATAGCCCAGAAATACAACAAGGTTTTCTCCTATTGCTTGCCATCCTCCGCCCGCTCCACCGGTTACCTCTCCTTCGGCAACAGTGGCTTTTCGAATTCCGTAAAATTCACTCCTTTAGTCACTCTCTCCGGGGGTCCATCATTCTACGGCCTCGGTATCACCGAAATTAGCGTCGATGGGAAGAGATTGTCTATCTCCTCGTCGGTGTTCACGACGGCTGGCACAATCATCGACTCCGGAACCGACATCACCCGCCTCCCACCCACGGCGTACTCCGCTCTAAGAACCGCTTTCCGTCAAGGAATGTCCAAGTACCCAATGGGGAAGCAAATACAAATCCTCGACACGTGTTACGACCTTAGCAGTTACAATTCCGTCAGCATACCCAATATAAGCATTTCCTTCAGTGGCGGGGTTGAGGTGGAGATAGCCCCAGCCGGAATCTTGTACGTCATTAGCCCGTCACAAGTGTGCCTGGCATTCGCCGGAAACAATGATGACTCCGAAGTGGGTATTTTAGGAAACGTGCAACAGAGAACATTGCAAGTGGTGTACGATGGCGCCAATGGACGGTTGGGGTTCGCCGCCGACGGATGTAGCTGAGGAAATTCCGACAAACGAAGAGAATCTTCGAGTTAATGCCCTTGAGTCTTGATAATAGTAACAAAAAATTGCTTTGGATTAAAGTTTGATGTTTATGAATAAGATCTGCTTGGTTTCTTTCTTGCAAGTTTGTGCTGTTTTTATTTTAAAATAATAATTATTTTTTTACTTTTTTTAAATTAAAATTTTAAAGTTAATAATTATATTTTGTTTATAATACTTTGAAAAAGAAGCAAAAGATCAAAGATTTTTTGTAATTAGATAATTAATTAAAATAAATAGATAATAATAATAAAATTAAAATTAAAAAATATTTGTTTATTTTAAAAAAATAATTTAAAACAAATTTTTTAAAAAATAGTTATTTTAAAACAGAGAAAATAAAATAAATAAAATCCAATTTCAATAGAATCATATGTTGTCTGAATTTTGAATCATCTTTTTGAAATGAATTAGTATGTGCTTGATTGAAGTTTTAGAATTTAGGGGCTTCCATTGAGGTTAAATACATATGAATTTGTTTAATGCTAGGACTGAAACTTTTATTTTTTAAATTATAATTACCTTCTATGATAAGATAACTTTGTTTTTTTAAAATCTTTTTTTAAATTTTTAATTTTTAATTGCTGTAACTTTTGCTGAAAAATTCTTTGCAGTAATAGTTATAATAATTAGATTTATTTAATTTGTATCATAACATATTGTTATCCCAAAAAATCTCCTTGACACGTG